TAGCTTGGAGAATTTCTTTGGGAAATAGTTTACAAATCTTGACATCTGATTGGCGGGAAGGAGAGTATGTATTCATGAATAACAGCTGCATTAGTCTGGGTGAGCTAAAGGAAAGCAACCAATATATGCATTATAAGGGGATTTGCTAGCTTGGCTTACAGGATAAGGGCTGGGCATTCCAACAGTATGGTAAAGAGGCTGAGAACTTTGTAGCTACTCCATCCACAGAGCCGGATGCCTCCTTATTGGAAGACTCGGAAGCTCTTTGGAGAGCCACTAGTATTCGTTTATTCCACGTTGGAAGTCCAATGTCAGCAGAGGATGGCCATCGCCATGGCGGCAGCAGTAGACACTCCTCAGAAGGAAGAAGCCAAGGCAGGTCTCACCGCTTTTTCCTTGGACATCTTTACGTCTGGACTACCATTTAGAAGGTGTTAGTTGCTTTGAGGGCAAATCATCCCCCTCAGTTAATCAAGGTGATTCTACGTCCCTCCCAGCTAAGAGTCAAAACCAAACATAGGGGCTGGACAGATGGTTCGAAGAATAAGTACTGCTGGGTGTGGTGGCGCACGCCTTTAATCCCAGTACTCAGAGGCAGAGGCAGGCGGATCTCTGTGAGTTAGAGGCCAGCCTGGTCTGTAGAGTGAGTTCCAGGGTAGCCCGGCTGTTACACAGAGAAATCCTGTTTCAAAAAGCAAACAACAACAAAAAGAACACATACTGCTCTTGTTGAGAACCCAAGTTCAGATCTCAGAACCTACATCAGGCAGCTCATAAACACCTGTAACTCCAGCTCCAGGACATCCGATTCTCTGTCTCTGTCTCGGTCTTCCTCTCTCCAGAGTCTTTAATATAGCCCTTGCTGTTCTAGCTGACCTAGAACTCATTATGTAAACCAAGCTGGCCTTGAACTCAGAGACCTACATCTGCCTCCTCAGTGCTGGGATTAAAGGTGTGCCACTATGCCTGGCAACGATTCTTATTTTAAAGAATGGGGAAGGTTGCAGAGAGTTTTCTGGTTAGGAGCACTGACTGCTCTTGCAGAAGACGCAGGTTCAGTTCCAGCACCCACATGGTGGCTCACAACTGCTTATAACTCAAATTTCAGGAGATCTGACATCCTTGGTAGCTAGGGTTTGGTTTTATTGTTTTTTTTTTAATTTATTTATTTAGGTTTTTTTTTGAGACAGGGTTTCTCTGTGGCTTTGGAGGCTGTCCTGGAACTAGCTCTTGTAGACTAGGATTGTCTCGAACTCACAGAGATCCACCGGTCTCTGCCTCCTGAGTGCTGGGATTAAAGGCGTGTGCCACCACTGCCAGGCTGTTTTTGTTTTTAAGTGATTTATTTTTATTTTGTGTACATTGGTGTTTTGCCTGCTTTATGTCTTTCTGTGTGATGGTGTTCAATCTCCTGCAACTGGAGTTACAGACAGTTGTAAACTACCATATGGGTGCTGGGAATTGAACCCAAGTCCTTCAGAAAAGCAGCCAGTGCTTTTATCTCTCCAGCCCAGGTAGCTAGGGTTTTGATCCCAGCAAGCAACTCTAGCCCTTCTTGGCTGGGATCTCAGACATAGGAGCCATTTCTTTAGCTCACCTTTGTTCAGACTATTATGCCCGGCTTTCTCTCAGGGGGCTATACTTTCCTAGTCACTCCAAGGTACACTAACAGTTACAGAATCCCCTGAGCCCCAAGCTCTGTCATTGGCTCAACACTCTTGGTCTGTTTGTCCCCACCACCGCCACCATGACAGGGTTTCTCTGTGT